CTCACAGCAAGAAGGGCCTGGGTTCGATTCCCCGGACAGGCGAACAGGATCCTCTCTGTGAGGAGTTTTCATGTTCGTCTACGTGGGTTTCCTCCGGGTGCTCTGGTTTCCTCCCACAGTCCAAAGACATGCAGTCAGGCCAGTTAGAGATACTAAATCGCTCCTAGCTATGAGTATGTATGTCTGTGTGTCTGCCCTGTGATGGACTGGCGACCTGTCCAGGGTGTTTCCTGCCCAACGAGCACTGGGACAGGCTCCAGCTCACCCTGTGACCCAGCAGAATAAGTGGATGATGAATGGATGAACGGATGAATTAATCTGTTATTTCTAGGTTTAAATAATAATAAAAAAAAAATTTCAACGTGGTCTCAGACTTTTGGACTGTACTTATGGGCTATGTCAACGGTCAGTCCATTACGGGGAGGCATATTTTAGGAAGCTGTCCCTCAAACATTACAGAGCATGTCTAAAAAAGGTACATCTGTGTTCAAGACAGAGAGAATGAAATAATATTTGGGAATGCTAAACGAGGGTGCTGCCAAGAGAGGTTAATTGAGTGTCTAATGAAGGTGTTCTATGGATGTTGGTTCAAAAAGTACAATAATGAATTTTCATGGCTCACTTCTAGAAATTAAAAAAGCCCTCATTACATCATGGCTATGGTCAAAAAAAAAACAAAAAAAACACACCCAAAGCATTTCAGCACAGACCCTCATCAGAGAGTAAGATAAAGCTTTTTCATGCCACAGAAATTCATTTTTGTAATTTTGTGAGTATTTGTTGATTATTCTTCCCCACACTGCACCTCTGCAATGGATGTTCGCATGTAAAAATAGGTACTTCATACTGAATTTAACTGGAGGATTGGTTTACATCATTTTATGCCAACATACTTTCTACAGAACACGTCCTTGAAATGGATGACGATGCACACAAAAGCAGTGATCGCTATTTTCACCTCTCAAATCCATGAGTGGAGACAAATGGGCGAGACAGCTAATGTTAATAAGGACGTTTAAAGCTTGAGAGAGCTGACATAAAGGTTGTGATTGTGAAGGATAATTGTGCATTTTAATGAGAAGAGTTTGGTAAAGTCCTACACATTTCTCTGCTCACAAATAGTGTAGACCTACATACAGTCTACAGTTAGCAACTGTCAGTCCGTTACGGGTTGACCCTTAACATTAGGAAGGTGTTCAAGTATCTGAAACCCTGTCTGAAAAGGTGTATATGTGTCCAAGACAGAGAGAATCAAATAAGAGAAGACAGAGAGGATAAAATAAGAGTGCTACCAGTGGGGGTGACTGAGTGTCTATATAAAGTGCTCTATGGACACGAATCCAAAACATACAATTATTCATTTGCACTCTTCAGAATATTAAAAAACCTCTATTATATCAAAGCTATGGACAAAAGGTTAAAAGAAACAAGCTAAAGAATTTCAGCACAGGCCTTCATCAGGGATAGTGACAATGCTTTATCATTTTACACCACAAACATTCATTTTTGTAATATCGGAGTAATTTTCGAATATCTTCCCCACACTGGAACTCAAGGGATGCAAGGGATGTTCACACTTCATGATAACAAGGACGGATGAACAAATTCAGCATTTTATACTGAGTTCAACTGCAGGTTTGGGTTACATTATTAAGTCCATCTGAAATAAATAAACTAAAAAAGTTTGTCAAATCATGAGTTTGATACCAAGCGATGCCACAGCCAAATCCAAGACAGCATAAATTGGCCTCGCTCTCTCTCTGGCCCTCCCCCTCGACCCCATCGCTAAGCTGGCATGTAGTGCTCTCCTCCAAGCGCGTTGAGACGTTCAGTGACGTTCAAAAAGTAGTCTAAAAAGGTGTAGTGGTGCTTCACGTTGCTCAGACGAAGTATAACCTAGCCTTTCTCTTCCGAGCTTTGTAGCATCATGTTCGAATGTTCCAAGTTCTAAACACAACTAAAAACATTCAAATATTTGTGTTTGTGCCGTCAGTGTACTGGCCTTTAGCCAGCTAATGGAACTGGCATTGACAAAATTGGAGAGAAAATTGGGTAAGAATAAAAACGTACGTGGAAAAAGTACAGTTGAAAGACAAAGAGAAAAAAGAAAATCATCCAAAATGACCAAACAAACAGAAAATCCTTCAACATGCACCATTTACTTCAAAGTAGGCTGCATGATAAATCGTCTTTTTACTGTTATCGCGATATGAGTTTCCACAATAGACACATTGTTAAGAGCTGCGATAACAGAACAGGACTGAACCCGACTCTCCCACATGAGGGACGAGTAACTTAACCATTAGGCTAAATGGCCAACCACAAACATGCAGCCCTACTTCAAAGGCATGATGGCGCTAATCGATCTTTCACCTTCACAAAGCTCTCGCACGCCGCGAGTGTTGTGGACGGAAAACATATTATTGGTCTTCTCCGATGGCCGTTTTGGAGTCTGTCGGCGGTTTAAGCAGCGTACAGACTAGATCTTCCCTTTTTCATTAATCATTTATGACTGAGCTCTCTGAGCCCGCTCACTGCGGAAAGAGCAGCATCGGAGCAGGCAGCCTGCTTCTGAGGATGCACGCTGAAATGGGGGACTTAATTATGTTCAAAGGCTTTGCCGCTGTTATGTTTTGTATGCTTGATTATGCACAGAAGGCACCCAGACAGCGAAGGGCTATTTGCACCCATTCATACTGCAGCATAACCGACGGCAAAAGAGAAAACAGCATCTCTCTCCGTACAACGGCAATGCAATTTTTTAGACTCGGGCAACGAGGTGCAACACAGATGCAACAGGTGCCGAGCGCAACATTTGCTGCCAACGTTTTTCAAATCTAGTATAATGGCTTGACTGGATGAATCAAGGATGATATTCATAACGTTTCTTCAAAGCAGATCTGCTGTAGCATCTGTTGTTGTGAGAAAATCATTACAAATTATGGTGCAGCTCGAGCTTAGATTTTTTTTTTTAAGTTGCTCATGAATGCAGAGTAGGCCAAGAAACAGGAACTATCCTATAATCTGCTGTTCAGCTGGCAGAATTTCGACATATTTAAACTAAACATCAACAGAAACACAAAAATTCCATTAATTACGTATGTCCACATTATTAGAGGAATGGGTCAACTAAACATGTTACCATGACTCATAATGAATGGAAACTAGTAGCCATCAATTAGCATGACGTCATTGGCGTAATACATACATAAACATAAAAAGTGTTGGCTATATTATCAAAATTATGTTGCCTAAAAAATCATTTAAGTAATATTATTTAAATAGTTGGGGCAATCTAAAATGCTATGTAACTGTCAGAAACCAAGAAATGATCATCTCTGAGACAGATGGACGGATGAGAGAAAAGAAATGTATGCGAGGCTCATTGTGTCCCACAATACTTTGTCCCAGTGAAAGACACAATACAGTGCCAAAAGCAAGAAATAAAAGAAAGCATTAGCCTCGTTTAACTAACCAAACTTGCTTCTTTTAAGTGTCAATACTTAAAGAAATGATTTGGCAAAAAAAACTACTTTTAAACAATTTTCCACTTATACCAGATACAGTCGATCAGGTAAGATATGATTGTTGTCCAAATTTTGGACTTCTTTAGTTTAGTACTGCAGCTACGAGGGTAATGTAGGAAACAAACACTAGAAGTTGACAGGCACACAAAACTTTTCCATAAATGCATTCCCAAAAAAATTCTCAATCCACTCAAACTGTATCCAGGTTTTTATTACAGTTATGCAGATGTTTAGGACACACTATGAACTATAAAAATGAACTAAACTGAACTGTGTAGCTGAATGCCTGGGGGCGGTCACTTTAGATGACTGCCTGCCGTATGCTTCCTAAAATGGCTGACCGCGTTCAGCAAATGTTCAGCATTTTTAGAATTCACAGTAAGCCATATTGTGTCCTGAACAACATCGACAAGTCTGTGTGACTTTAATGAAGAGCTGGATGCAGTTTAAGAGAGTTAAGAGAGGTTTTGGGGAAGTATTTATGGAAAAACTGTAGGTGTTTTAACTTGTAGATGTTTTAACTAGTGTTTGTTAGCAACGTTAGACTTGGAGCTCCAGCGCTGAACTAAAAAGAAGCAAAATGTGGACACCAAACATGTCTTGGCTGACTGGCTACATGTGGGGTGTCTTTTTGCCAAACCATTTTCTTAAAAAGTGAGAGACGGAATAACTACTCATTAACTGATACTTCAATATCAAAATTAGTTGGAATACATACGCATATCCAAATCCAGACCTCCTCCAAAATGACATTAATTATGTATATCCAGTTTTAAAGGAACGGCTGGAACGAAAATACTAGCATGATTTATTATGAGTAGCTAATGGTTACCAATGAGCATGATAACACAATGTGATGGCTATATGATTTTATGCACTGGGATAGAAGATCATATAAAATACGAATTCTTTGTGAGTATAAAAATATGCATGACACTGTGAGAAGGCAGTGATAGCACGGCTGTCTCTGATCACAGACTAAGCTAGCTAATCTAGATGAGGTTAAGAAAGAACGAAAAGATATTTTTCTGACAAATAACATTGGCATAGAAATGACCTCTAGTGGAAGATGACGAGTTCTTATCAGCATCCAGTGTTTTACCAGTGAGCTGTGGTGTTAGTTCATTAGCTCATCTGAAGAGGCTCCATTACTCATCCAGCATGAATACCTAACGATTTCACTCAGCTATATTTCCAGTATGATTCTCTGCATGTCATTTCTTTTTGCACATCCCCATATGAGATCAGCACATTGTGGTCGACATTATATTGACACACCAGCCAATAAAGGTTTTCTTCAACTAGGACATGATGATCCCATCATAGGGATTCAGTAAAAAAGACACGGGCTAACTAAAGTGCCAGATACTGTGGAATGAAAGCCTTTTAAAAATACGAACAGGTGGAGGAAGACAACACTGTGACAGTGCAGAAGCAGCCGAGCAGCAGTGAAGAGAGAAAGTCCCAGCTCACCTCTCATGATGTGGCGCACGGCCTTCACTGAACCGCCTCTCAGGTTCAGGATCTGATGCACTCTCTGCTGCAGCTGTGAGGGTAACACACACACACACACACACACACACACACACACACACACACCAAAAGCACACAGTGTATTTAAACAGTCTGTGAAAGAAATCCTGGTACAAAATATACCAAGGCCATGTTATACATATGGATGGACATTTTAATCCGTATCATCCACACAACACTTGCTCTGTGCAAATAATTAGATGGAAATAAACTCATGGACCTGACACCCATCCATGCATCCATCCCAGTCACTCACATATAGCAGAGTGAGATTATCCACAAGGGGTCACTATTAGCGCTCACGTAGCTTTTGGTGCTTCTTAAGGGTGGTACTTCACATCAATGACACTGTGTGTCTTTGTTCATGTTTTTGTTCGAAATTTTCACATACCTGTCAGCTTAGATGTGGCCATTTTGCTTGACCTAATTCCAGACTACCCAAGGCATATTTGAATGCTTGACTAAGTAAATGAATAATAAGGTTGGATTTTTGTATCTTCTAATAACCACACCCATCTTTATTTACACTGGTATGCAAATGTTTTAACACAACTGGTCAAATTAGTGATGTTTTGTTGATTTTCTAAGTGAAAATAACACATTGTCTATAGAGAAAAAATAAATTTATCTTTTTCTGTAAATTTTAGTGGAAAATTACTATTTAACAAATTGGGAAAAAAAAGAAATAAAACAAATATGCCATAAAATTCTGTCCTTATTTCCATTTAGCAAACCAACAACCATAATTTGGCCGGGGTGCCCAAACCTTTGACTGTATAAGCAGAACACTCAATGTCCTGCACACTGCTACTGCATTCAGACATCCTTTCTCATGAACTATAATCATCTATAGTCAGTCTGGGAGTCAGTTGCAGTGCGTGAAAGAGCAGGTGTACCTGTGAGATTCCAGCACTGCTGATCTCCACCATGATGTAGCAGATGAGCTGTAAGACGAAGAGTCCAGCATCTAAACGCCGCAGGTAAAACTCATCCTCCATCGAGTCGTCCAGAATCTCGCCTCTTCGTACCATCTCCTGGAAAACACCATCACACACACATACACACACACTGGTTAGAAAAATGAAAGAGTGACTGTGATACTTGTAATAGTCACCTATACTAAAAACACAGGTGAAGCCCTCACGTATTATGGTTACAGACTGGTCTGCATTATTTTGATTATTTTGTTGGATTCCGTGAAAGACTTTCAAAACTACTGTGAAATGTCTGAGATTTGGTCAGCAAACAATACAAGCAACTTATTTGAGGCTCATTTGAATATTGAGTTTTCTGCAATATCAGTGTCGTTGATATCACAGTAACAACTAACATTTGATATCAGTGTCAGAAATAAGGGGCAAAGGCAAAAATGCCCTCATGGTCAACATTTCTCAACCACTAAAACACAAGCACTGGTTCATAAATGTCCCCAAACAACCATTTGCAGTACTGTTCAAAAGTCAGAGCCCAATTTTCATTTAGCCAAAACAGCTAATAAGAACAGGTTTCTCATTTCTGCGGAGATTAGGAACATTACGAGGGGGAAAGTCAAAAAAAGATAAGTGAACAAAGGAGTTTTTCAAAACATTCAAAAATCAAGAACACAGAGAAAATGAGACTCCTAACAACTGTGCAAGACCTGATAGACACCAACACTGCCCCATCAGATAAACAGCACTTAAAGCTTTCATCTTTGAGAGAGAGGAGAAAATCAAGCTGCTTCAGATCTGAAAACATCCACAGGTGTTTCTGTCCATCCTTCCACTGTGAGACGACACCTCAGTGCTGTGGGTCTGAAAGGATGTGCAGCTGTCAAGAAGCCCTTACTGAGAAAAGGACATAAACAAAGAACAAAATCTGCAAATCTAACTAAGAAGCTGCTGGTGTTCTCGGAACAATGGACTGGCCACCCCAGAGTCCAGACCTCAAACAAAATCACCGAATGTGTCTGGGATTATTTGGATCGTGAGACGCAGAAAATGCTAAAACGACTTCTGAACTTTGGATGTGTGGAAAAACATCAGATTTCTTTGAAAACCTGAAAGGAAATCTGAAAAGACTGAAAGCCATAAGAAAGGTAAAGAGCTGACACGATAAATACTGACGCTAAAACATGAATAATCTGTACTGTTTTAACTGAAAATTCTATAAATAAAGGGTGATCTTTGACTTTTGCACTGTATAAAATAAATACATTTTAAATATAAATGTAATAACACAGGTCAACATGCAAGACCTTCTGAACACAATCAAGTGAATGAATGTCACGATCACAATAATAAAAACTTGGTGCACTGCTTTGCCCTCTGATTCTCCCCTCTATTACCATCACCAATCTGGAATGTTCCAACATCGTAGAAAGGACGTTACATCTACATACTGCTTTCTTTATAAAATGTTCTGCTCTTTGAGATTAAATTATTAGTTAATTGCAAATGAATGTTTTATTTTTCTATATTTTGTGGCTCCATATGTGTGTGAAAAACCCTTTAACTAGATTCAGAGGACAATATACTGCGGAAAGAGAGCAGAAAAAGGGGGAAAAGAGAGGGGAAAAAAAAACTCTAGTTAATTTTAAATGCAGCCGAGTTACTGCAGCCTTCAGGTTCAATCTGCCTACTGATCATCAGTTTGGGACTTAAATGGTGTGGAGGGACACATACAGCTATACGCATCAATCTTAAACACCAAGTCCATAAGTCAATATCTCAGCCTTGTCAATACTCTCTAAATAGGAATTCATCACCATTAGAAAGCTTGTGGAGGTACTGTCACGCCAAAACAAAGCTGCTGGAGGCGTAAAGACACGCCATCATTTAGCTCAGCCGACAGCAACTAACATCTCCTCACTGGTCACAAGCTGTTGCTCAACACAGGAGCTAACAGACCACACTGGCACACCTGCATGCAACTTCCTACCACATAGTGGTGGATAGAGTCCCATAAAGAACAACGAACACACCCACAGCGTTTGGACTGAGGGCAACATATAAATAAAGGAAGTGAAAAATAATAGCAAGCGTTCACTGCAGTATTCCAAGTACAGCTTAATGGTGTACGCTCAACCTACACCACCCGTGATGGTCAATAAGGGCACGGTCAGTCACTGAAGTCGAGGTCGTCGCCCCTGTAGATGAAGGTCAAGGCTGACAGGTCTTGGCAAGACTTCCAGTCTAATCTGTGCACTTCACAAAACTTGCACTAAACTTCCTGGAATAGCCCAAAACATGTTGCTGACAAAATACAACAACAATACAGTTTGAAGATTTCAACTTATGGTTTCTGTGACAAGTGAATGTCACAATTACTGCACCTACATCATACTGTATCATAACTATTTGAGCTGATTGCAATTATATAAGCTAATCACAATAACTCATGTGGTTGCTATAGCCTAGTGGTTAACACATCTGCCCACGGATCGGGGTTCGATTCCCCACCCAGGCAAGCAAAGCAAGACCCCTAATGCTACATTAGCCTACCTCTGTAACAATAACTGTAAGCCTGCCAAATGTGCATGTGGGTGGGTGGGTGGATGGATGGGTGGATGGATGTAGTCATGGTCAATTCCAACTCACTAGTTAGATCTCACCCATCACACGACAATATCAAGCTGGGCAAGTTGGAAGCTGTTAAGTACAAAGAGTTAAATAGTACGACAGCTAATTTGGCCAATTTGAAAACTTTAGGCTTGTATTTTAACAGCTGCATAAAATGAACAGAAAATAAGTTGTTAATCGCAATTTATATGGCAATTAATCAGCAGCTAAAATTGTATGACTGTGACAGGCCAAGCTATAAATAGGAAAGCAATAACAACTGCAAGAAATGAATGACTCGTTCTCTAATTGAACTCCAGTTAGTCAACACGGCGGCAATAAAAGGATTCTCACCTGAATCACTGCAACAACTGCGTAGTTTCCGAAATGTTCTCTTCCCTTTACTTTCCATGCAGCCTATGTTAGTGTCGTTCATTTTGATCGTTCAGGTTCAATCTATTTTTGCCCTCTCCATTTTCTTCTTACTCACAAACGTGTGAAAACCCCAAACCTGGCAACCCTGCATATAACACTGTCTAAAATGAAAACTAAATCTAAATGACAAAAGAGACGGGGGTAAATCACACTCATACGTGGATACAATCAGAAGTACGGGCTCAAGGGTGACCGTCTTAGGTCCCACCTAAAACTGCTCCCTGTTGCTGGTGCTGCGAGCGTTTCTTCAGCACCTGCAGCGCTACCCTGAAGGGAACACGACAGTTGGCATTTTTTGCGCACCGTAATTGCTGCGAGTGACATGGCCCTCCCTCCTGGGAACGGCAGCCTTTTCAGGCGGAAATACAGCGTCTGTATGTGTGAGCGAGGGAGAGGTGCTGGAGCATGGCGTGGGAAACAAGCTGCACGCAGGCAGGAGAACACAAAGGGAAGCGTCTGGGAGCAGCAGAGAGACAGCAGGAGCGTCCGTCACGGGCTGCTGCGGCCCTGCCGAGCCTGGCTGCTCCTCTCCTCTAAACCACTTCTTCCAATAAACCCCGCCTCCAAACACAGCCTCGCTGCAACACGGGCCCGACTGCCAGCTGCGCACGCCTCTGTACAGGGACGAGGCGAAACCTATGCAGAACTGAGGACAACCTGGAGATTTAGAACATTCCAGGCACAATAGGACTGCAGACGTCTGCTATTACAGACTAAACCGTTTACTAAAATTACTAGTTTTTAAGTCAACCTGAAACAGGATTTGGGATATTTATCGTGGGCAATATGGCAAAAACACTGTATATAATACGCATCATGATATGATATGAAAAACATTCATCAAAAACTCTCCACACACTGCACTGCAGTAAATCCAGTTAAACAGGACTAATTACGCTCTCTTTGTAATGAAACATGCAGTTCATTTTACCAACAACATTAAAAACATGCTCAGAAAAGCAAATTATCACAATAACTACCCCGATAACGTCAAAATATTGTCATATTGCCTGTGTTTTGACACGGATATATGTGGCATCTCGGGGGATCGAGCTTCTGATGTACATATACTTTTATTAAAGCCTTTTTTTTAATGAGTGATCTACTATCATCATCATACGTTCATCAGTATAATGCTGATTTTGCATTTGAAACCTAAACATCCACCTTTTTTTGATTCGGTGCGCATGACTAACACGTTAAGTTGTGCGACGTGGCCTAAAAAAACTCCCTTCCCGACGCCTCTTAAATAGTATCGGTTTTTAAAATATTAGACTTAAAAATATTTACCATATTTTAGCCTGTTTTTTCCTCCTGACTCAGTAACGCTACTTTTTAAAAAATATTTTTAAAAAAAGATTAAAAGCAACACCATGTAAAATTATTTTTGTACATTTTTTTTTAAAAGAAATTGTTATCATTATTAGTCCTTTTTCAAATGTTTTCACAATTTTTACTTTCGTCTGTTTGTCCATGTAGTTCAGTTGCTTTGTTTTTTAACATGCACTTTGAGCTGCATTTCTATGCAAGAAAGGTGCTACATAAACATCAGCTCTTTATTATTGTCATTATTATAATTAGTATTGCAATAACTTCTACTACCACTACAAACGGCTTTTGTCTTACACATTTTTATAACACGGAAAGATGAGGATCACTGATTTTGGATCAACGCTCTCAGACACCTTACTTAAGTAACCAAAAACACGACAGTAGCCGCTGAGTTGTCTTCTTTCTTTTGTCCATTTTTAAGGATAACAGTATATCATACAATGTTTGAAACCACACAAGCAAGTCTATTTAACCAATCAACACAGTTTGTGGCAACGGTGTAATGACTAAGGCACACATGGTTGGCGGAGAATAAGCATCCATTATTTGTTAGCTACAATAGCCTCGTAGCTCCAGTGCAAAACTAAAGAAGACCAAACCCTGCCTGACTGACTGTATTTAGGGTAAAATTGTGTGAATATGGCTTTTCCCACTTTAAAAATCGAACCATGCAGTTTAGTGGAGGTGGCTGCCTTGTGTTCTCCTTGTATGAGGGGGAAAATGGCTGA